TTGGGCAAAAAATCAGAGGCAAAACGTTTATGTGTGGATATCGTAGTAAATCTTTACAAATAGTTTTTTTATATGTAGGCTGATTTTTATGCCTCACCATAGTCCAGGTCTTGGTAAACACAAAACTATACTATACTAAGAGAAATCGGTAAACCAAAAAAAAACTGCGTATAAATGACTTTAAAATTGTAAAGAATCTTTATCTTTTAAAAATTATTTCAACCTAATAATTGGATCTCGAATCTCTGTACAGTGCACCACCATATCAAGATTTCAATGGGACTGACTCTAACCTGAAATTGTTTCTTAATTACATTGGCAACAGTTACACAAATTAGCTGCCATATCGACCACAGCTTCAATAAAAAGGCTCAACCGACAGATAGCATCTACATATCATATTCCGTGTATATGATAAATATCTTTATACATAATACAAAGCAAATATTGAAAGCAAAGAGTCGATAGTTAACTTCATGCTCGATAAAAAGAAAGAAAAGAAATAATCGTACGATTCACCCAACTAATAGCCTACCCCTGACCTAGAAAAATAATTTGATAGATATATAGACCAGTATGTAATCGTATATTTGCAATAGACAAGCCTTGGAGTATTTTTAAAAGCGTTCCTCCGTGTTCACGCTTAGTCATTTCACTGATTTTCTTTGCTTTACAATGTTTGGTGTGAAGGCCTACTTACTTATATTATTTCACCGGAGATAAGTAATGTTTAATACACACAAATGTTAATTAAAGCCAATACCGCTGCTGTTTTTATAGTTTATGTTTTGTATTATTGATACAAGTATAGTTTTTTCCTTTACATTGCTGTTTGCTCCATCTATCTAATTTATTTCATTAGTTTTAATATCGCTGTGATAACTTAAATATTCATACGATAATGCTGATAGTATTATGCAGTATAATAGCAATTGCAGAAATATTCAACAGAATGATGTTAATGATGTTACCTATTCTTTCGTCATTTTTGCCAGTAATGTCAGTATCATCTTCACCAACATCTTCGACCGTTTTTCTTTGAGTATTCAGTTTTCTTCAAAGGCCTTTTAGATATATATGCGTGTGTGTGTACACCTATGTACACACACAAACACACAAACACACACACACACACACACACACACACACACACACACACACACACACACACACACACACACACACACACACACACACACATATATATATACGTGTATTATTCGCTTACTTCATAATGTTGATAAACTTGACCCTGAAAGTTGGCGTGATTGTCTGCTTGGATTTGATGCACATGCACAATATTTTTTTTCTATCATTATTGTTATTATCTTTATTATTATTATTATTATTATTATTATTATTATTATTATTATTATTACAAATGTTGTTTTTACTATTATTGTTATTATTACCATTATGATTATTATCATTATTACTGTTGTTATATTTTTACCATCACCATTATTATTTCTATTGTCACAGTTATTATTATTTCTTATTGTAACAGTTATTATTATTTTCGTTATTATTAATATCACTTCAATATTCTTATCATCAATATCATTTAATCCATATCAAGCCTGGTCCAAACCAAGATATATTGCATGGAAATAGTTGCGCAACAATATGAGTTTAACGTACCTGAGTGAGAGGCAACCAAAAGTGTTTTTTTTTTCTAAGAGCATTTGGCTATGTGAGTCAATATATCTGTGGGATAGGAAAGGATACGTTTATTCTATTTCATCAAGCTCTTTCTTAAATATTCCGTGACATGTCTGCTGTATACATGTTGTTTTTTTATGCGTGTCAATATGATTTATATTCTATAAATTCCACGGGAAGTATATTTCCCTTTATTGTTGTTATTATTACTATCATCATTATCATTGTCATCATCGTCATCATCTTTATTATTAAAGAGATATATCCCACTACTGGTATCAAAATCTGCGTTATGGTTCATAAAATTCCCACTATTTTTCATCAATACCGTCTTTATAGTTGATAATATATCCAACAATTTGGTACCAATATCTGTATTATAATGAGTAACAAACCAAACTATTTGGTATCAATATCTGTATTATAATGAGTAACATAGCAAACTATTTGGTATCAATATCTGCATTACAGTTAATAATACATCCTCTTCAGCCTTAACACACACACACTTCCCTACACATCCCCCAACACCCAGCGCCACGACGTGACTTCCTCCCCTCCTTTCCCGCAGGCGGTTCTGTACAATGACCGCAGCGTCTTGGAGAACCACCACGCCGCCGCAGCCTGGTCCCTCTTCCTCTCGAAGCCTGAGTACAACTTCCTCACTCACTTGGACAGAGCTGAGTTCAAGCGCTTCAGGTTCCTGGTGATCGAGGCTATTCTGGCGACGGATCTCAAGAGGCACTTTGAAATACTGGCGGAATTTAATGCTAAGGTGAGGCGGGCGTGGGTACAGGTGGGCGTTAGGTTTTCGAGTCTTCTCTTTCTAGTTGTTTGT